GTATACTTATCCCTTTATTTCGGCCAATTTCTACTATTTTTCCAGCGATCCGCGGTGCCTGGTAGAGGCTATTCGGGACCGTCTGACAATCTGCGACGTCCCGAACTCGCTGATTGGATTATTGGCCTCGCTGCTGACCTACCGTATTTTATGTCCGTGTTTACGTGAATAACGCAACGTAGGCTTTTAACCGTCTTTACACGAAGAGCCGTGTTTAAAGGGACATTATGTAACATTTTACACCAAAAATCAATCTTAATTAATTGAAAAACAAAAATTCATGTGTTGTAAAATCCACCTTTCAACCTATTTGCATAACTATCTCACATTTCTGATATTCATGGTTGGCAATACAATGTACTGGTTGGCACTAAAATAGCCCACGTACACGAGGCACACTCAGTTTGGAGTACCACCACAAACTACGTTTGTACCAGAATGTAAACAAATTATAGCTGACAACTGTGTTTCCAGCTCTTAATATAAAACACACTTGTAAGGCATAATATTTTGGCACCTACAGTTCCTAACTTGCCATTCGCAATGTAATAAGGTTGATTAAAATATATTTTTAACATAGTTGTTTATATAATATAGTTGTTAAGTTAAGATTATAAAGTTATTCTTTTATTCTTCTCTCCTATGTATCATGTTACTCAGTATGATGTACATGTAACATCACACTCTGATGTATGCATTTAGCCCCATGGGCATGAGCATGCAAATAAAGATTCAATATATAATATATAATAACCACTTAGCACACTTTCCTAGCGACCAACCGGGGTATAATGTATTAACGACCCGGTCTGTCGCGCCATATTATTTCAGAATGACGCTGATAGGAGAATAACGCATGCAGGGATCGAAATTAAAGGTGGGCCAGTGGCCACTGACCACTAAAATTTAGGATGGGACAACTAAAAAGACACTTTGGGACATTTTTGGGGCAATAGAAAAATAATCATCATCAGAATGTCAGCCCTTTTGTCCCGGTTTTTGGATCCGAATTTTCTGTCTACTCTGCATGCAATAATAGTGCGCCTGGGAGTGAACATAAGCAAGATAATGTTGACTTCAAGTTCAAGTCATACAATACTTAAAAAAACAGGCAAAAAAACAGGTTGGGACAGTTCATCCTCACTTCAGGACAATAGAAATTTATTTTTGGGACAGCGCTGGGACAAAAGGAAAAAAAAATTCGAGGCCTGGCATGGGATTGATCCATGTGGCAGTATCTCCGACAGAAGGTAGTTTCAGAATCTGGCACACGTTTATCGATTTCCATTTGCTCTCTGTCTCTCATTCTGTGTCCAATAAAAAAACGGCCGTTCCGGCATTGTGGACTTCGGTCATTCAACGACCCGCGACCTTACATGGAGTGTCAGGGGACATATTCATTAAGAAAATCTGCCAGTGCACAATCACGGGATAAAATTTATGTATAATTCAGTTTGCAGTCAAATTTTCAAGCGCTCTAACCAGGCCATGGCTCTAATATATATAACACAGAAACCTGCAAATTAGGAACGGACATATTCATTTAAAAAATCAGGGGATAAAATTTATGTATAATTCAGTTTACCGTCTACATTTAAACCGCTCTAACCAGGCCATGGCTCTGATATATATAACACAGAAACCTGTAAATTAGGGAACGAGCTAATTTTTCAGAATATTTAGAGGGATACGCCAAAAAGCAGTTACTCAAGCAACTGCATATGCAACTGGATGTCTAACCTTCACCGACATATTTAGAGTGATATTTCTGGTCATCTTACCACGGCAGCTAAACCTATCGTGTGGTCTTTGGCGACCCTGAATACGCGATCACCCGAGGCAAACGCAACCAATACCCCCTAATCTAATCTTCGGGGTGATACCCGGCCCCCAAAACCGTAAACAAATCCAATTAAAGAGATAATGGCAACGTGAACCCGGCTGACAGGGGAAACCTATACCGCAGCTAAACGGGTAGAGCCTTACACAGCCAAGAAGTGATTTTTTGTTTCCTTGCGTTTCGATTTGTGCAAATATGAAGGAAAACGGATACCACAGCAAAACGGGTAGAGCCTAGCCTCTACCAGGCTCCTCGGATCGCTGGAAAAATAGTAGAAATTGGCCGAAATAAAGGGATAGTATACCAGAGAAGATCCAGGGCCATAGAAGCTCCAATTTGCGACCCACGGAGCTTCTATGGCCCTGGATCTTCTCTGGTATACTATCCCTTTATTTCGGCCAACTTCTACTATTTTTCCAGCGATCCGCGGAGCCTGGTAGAGGCTAGCCTTACACAGCCAAGAAGTGATTTTTGTTTCCGAAGTTTGCGTTTCGATTTACTGGATGTGCATGTCATTCATATACAAAATGCGTTCGGGAGAGTTAATATGTAAACAAGCATTGCCTAGATCCATACATTGGACTAAAGCTGTGAAGAGTCCAAAATACACCAGATGCTTCTCTCAGCGGTTTTGTCGTTGACTTTTATGTGGCGGAAAACTAGATTTCCTTGGATCTCTTCTTGCTTGATGCGTTGCCTAAACCCCCACATTTAAATCCACGAAGAGTGTCTCATTGTATATCGATGACTCATGCACTAGCCGGGACTCAAAACTTCATTTATATTCCTCTCACACCTTCACCCTCTTTTGTACTTCGATTTTTCCACTTTCGCTAGTTCTTCTTCCATCCCTTCTGTCACCGTGCTGGCGAGCGTTGGCGGATAACGAATGATCTGGAATCATTTGCTATCATTCCAACCATCTCACACCGCAGTTTATATCATTACAACCATCTCGCACCGCAGTTTATATCATTGCAACAGACTCGATGCTATGGACTCGTTCATATATAACGTTATAATCAAATGCAGCATCTCTTACAATACAAAAATAGGTAAATACATAAACTGTTTTGTTATTAGAAAAAAATAACCTAACTCATGATTAGCCCTTCTAATTATATACTGTATTATCTCTTGATGTTTAGTAATTAGGATGATAATTTTCATTCTGTACCCTTTTCTCGTTGTACTATGTTCAATAGTCGTTGCCATACCGTTGCCAAAAAAGGTCAAACCCAGTAGTTTTTAGGAGTTAACAGTAGTTCTCTGTGTACTAATTGCCTGTTCTTATAGCAAATGTTTCTTCTGTACTTGCAATTAGCCCCCGGGCATGAATATGCAATAAAACAATTATTAGTAAAAAACGTGTCCTCACCGTAGCGGGAATATCGATGATTGACAGCACGGCAGCCGATCCGTCCACTTTGACGTCTTTCTGAAACGCGTTCCTCATTCCGTACCCTGGGGAGAGGGGGAAGACAGACGTAAGTCGCACATTCGGAGACGCGCATTTCGAACGTGGGTGTTTGTCTCAGCCCACTTCTATCTTACTCATGAATGAAGCTACGCAAACGTCTTTTGAAAGCGCTGACGTACAGCAGTAATATACTGACGTTTGCATGTATAGAAACTAGTACACGCTAAGACAGGTAACAATATGTTAGTGGCAATTCTAACCGTAACTTATTTGGCAGGAGTAGAATAATTATTACGCCAAAAAGAGCTATCTCATGAATGAAGTTGCGCAAGCGTCTTTTGAAAGCGATGACGTACAGCAGTAATATACTGACGTTTGCATGTATGGAAACTAGAACACGTCAAGACAGGTAACAATGTGTTAGTGGCAATTCTAACCGTAACTGATTTGGCAGGAGTAGAATAATTATTACGCCAAAAAAAGAACTACATGTATCTCATGAATGAAGTTGCGCAAACGTTTTTTGAAAGCGCTGACGTAAAGCAGCAATATATTGACGTTTGCATGTATAGAAACTAGAATGCATAGAGACAGGCCATATATATTTATGTGTTGTAAAAGCTCATTCATTCATATCATGTACAAGTAGATGCCATACTTTATACAGTTGTTGTGCTATAAAGTTATAGTATTGTATTTGATACCGGTAATTCTAAACGTAACTTATTTGGCTGGAGTACGATATTCTAGCGGCTACCTGTTTTAAACTACGCGTTGGCGTTTTGAAGCATCCAGCTATGTAATGTCAATGCAACTATGCATCCATCCATATATCCCACAAGGTAAGAACTCGAGAACTAGTCCGTGTGCATTCGTGCGGACCGCTGCAAACTTTCAATGCCTAATTTGAATTCATTACATCCCCACTTTGACGTTTTTTTTTCAGGCAATCCATCTTTGAAACGCTATAGATTAATAAATCATAAGAGCTGTCGCCTCCGACCAGTCGCCCGTGAAAAAGGCGGCACGCCCACCTGTGTAGGCGACCGTTAAATAACGGTCATGCGATTCAAATTTTTGAAAATGAAATATTTGAAATCGTAAGAGAAACAGGTAAACCTTTGACGTCATAACGCAAACGGCGGAGTCTGGTATAAAAAGACGTTGCCTGGTTATTATTCATATTTTGCGTGACGGCATATGCGCGTGTCTATTAATATCGGCGGAAGAAAGAGTCACCTTGCCAACTGATACTGTTTAATGTCAACTCACCGCGGGCTATTTTTGAAACATTTGACGCAATCCGACGACAGCACTCAAACTGGATCATTGATTTTCTGTCTCTTTTCCATCTATCTTTGTCCTTTGTTAAAAGTCACTTTCGGCGTCATATATTCGGTTGCTTGGGTGTGGGTGGATAGGGTATTTTTTTCGGTCATATCCCTCGAAATTCTAGCCTCCATAGCATGCCAAAAACTGGGGGTTTGGGGGGGGGTCTTCATGGTCTTTGGGAGCTTTTATGTGCTATTTTCTGATTGCATGTAGACAAAATAGCCGGTCTGGTTGAATTATTCCCGTTTTTTGAAACTGGGCTAATCAGAAAACAGCCGAAGACCACCAAACCCCCAGTTCTATAAGCCTGCTACGGAGGCTATCGCAATTTCCTATAGTCAGACACTGTTTATTAACAGCTTAACATGTTTAAATCGAGAAATTAATACTCAAAAGACCGAGAGTTGTGATCGGTCAAGGGAGTGGGCGGTGTCCGTTCGGCTCGTCATTAGAACAGCGAATGAATCAAATCAAAATTATATCGATTTTCTTTCCGATCTCTCGGACCGTTGCCACACCAGCTGTCGGCTGCAGTTTGTGTCTTCTGCTGACTATGATTTTTTTCCGCAGCTGCTCTTCATTTTGTGTGTGTGTGACCGAGATTAAATAAAGTTAGTACATGCACCATTCAATTGGTACGCTCACTTCAATGTCTATATAAACATATCCATATGCAATATAGGCAGTGTAATTTTCCCTCTCAAAGAACACAGACCCGATTGGCGTTCATTCTATAATGACTAGCGATGCCCTTAGAAAAAATTAGACGATATTCTTATGACACAATGCTTGGATTTAAGGATAAGATATAATCAGTACATATGTTGCTATAGTGGTCAACATCAAGACCTTTTGTCAAAAATATGCCATCATTTTTCCTGATTCAACAGCGTTTTGCAAGTTCGTCAAAGAGCCTTTGAGAGACAAAGCAATGGCAATGTACCTGACAAGGTATCGGGAGAACATAGCAATGTATTTGACACGCAATGGAGCAACGGAAGACAACGGCACGGGAATGTCCCTGAGGAATTCTTGGGGGATCACTGTTACCATGGCACGGACAAATAGATTGTATAATTCATTCCTCCACAAGACTGTGCAATAGTAAAATGCAGGCTTAGTGTTTTCGCGTTGCATGTTATTTTTATGAACCCGTATGTATGTAATTGCCCTGTGTTTCTTCTTAATGTATCCTTAATTGTTGAGTCGACACAATTCAGCAGTACTATGTACACTGCCATGTTCATTGACATCTGTACTTATATCTACATACTAAGAAGCGAGAAGAAGCCACTTTATCGTGGGTATTTGCGTACAATAAAGGTCTTCATTCATTCATTCATTCATTCATTCATTCATTCATTCATTCATTCATTCATTCATTCATTCATTCATTCATTCATTCATTCATTCATTCATTCATTCATTCATTCATTCATTCATTCATTCCAGTAAAATTGAAAATCAACATACCTGACATGGTATCGGGGTCCAGGAACGGATCATCGCAGTCGCCGCCGTCGCTATCGGACTCGTACCCCCCGTCGGCGCCGACGAACTGCCGTGCGAGCTCGGTCTTCCCCACGCCCTCTCCCCCGAGCAGCACCACTCGGTGGATCGGCGTTCCCCCGGTCGCCTGGTCCACCTCACCACCGCCGGCTGACGACAGCGAGTCGACGTCTGAGTCCCAGCCGGAGTCCTCGCGGCACTCCTTGGCGAGGTCCTCGTAGGAGAGACTGGTGAGCGACCGGCGGGAGACCGCCGTGAGATGCTGCAGACACCGCTTACAGCTCGTCAGCGTCATGGTGGTCGTCGTGACAGAACGTTCAACTCTCGGTCTGGAAAAAATTATGATATATCCATATAAAATGTTCTTATATATTGATGAAAATGGCAATGACAAATCGTTTCAGTCCTAGCCCAGATATTATTGCCCAGTTATGGTAGTCGTTGCAGAACGGTGTTGTTCAACTCTCGGTCTGAAAATAAATCTATATAAAACGTTCTTACACTAATACTACTACTACATGGGCCCTTGTATGGAGCATATGCCACCGATGATCCTCTTCCATCCAGCTCGATTCTGGGCTTCCATTTCGTTCTTAAAACGTTCTTATATTTGATGAAAATGATTTGGACAGTACCGATGGTTTCAATTTTGACTCAGATATCGCCCAGTTCACAACATGAAGAACATTTACAACCACTTGGACGACTATTAAAACGCTGACGTTGAACATCTATCTATTCACGATCTGGAAAAAATATATATATAAAACGTTATTATCGTTGATGAAAGTGATTTGGACAGTGCCGATCTTGGCCCAGATATTATTGCCCATTAAAAATGTTCACAACCATGTAGCACATTACATTCACAACCACTGTAAAGCGCTGCGTTAACGTTAACATCTATATATTCTCGGTCTGGAAAAAATGAAATATCTATATAAAACGTTCTTATACGTTGATGAAAATGATTTGGACATTGCTGATCGTTTCAGTCCTGGCCCAGATACTAGCATCGCCGCGTCAAAATGTTCACAACCACGTAGCAAATTCACAACCACTACACAGGGCGACGTTAACATTGACGTTAAACATCTATCTATGCTCGGTCTGGAAAAATGAAATATCTATATAAAACGTTCATATATTGATGAAAATGATTTGGACATTGCCGATCGTTTCAGTCTTGGCCCAGATACTAGTATCACCAAAATATAGCACACCAGTCACATCCACTGCTAGCACTGCGTTAACGTCAACGTTGAATATCTATGGAGTCTCTATCATTCACAAAAATCTGCCTGCCATATACAGTATCCCCCTACTGCTTATGCATCAAGCCGTAGTTACGGCCAGCCCTGGTTGTTTCAGTTTTGGCCCAGATATATAGATATCGCCCAGTCAAAACGACCACAACCATGTAGCACATTCACATCCAACAGCGCTGCGTTAACACCAACGTTGAACATCTATAGATTCTCTATCATTAATAAAAATCTGCGTCTGCCATATCCAGTATCCCCCTACTGCAGATGAATCCAGCCGTAGTGACGACCGGCCCTGGTTACGGCGCGGGGCCCCGGCAGTGCGTGCCCGGGTTTAACCGCAGAAAACGTCTGTATACCCAAGCGAATACACGCCACGGCCCGATCCTCGACCCACGCCCTTCTCCGGATCAGAAGGACCGCTAGTATTACTATTAGCCTCTACCAGGCACCGCGGATCGCTGGAAAAATAGTAGAAATTGGCCGAAATAAAGGAATAATATACCAGGGGAGGTAGCCGGCCAGAGAAGATCCAATTCGCGACCCACGGATCTTTATTTCGGCCAATTTCTACTATTTTTCCAGCGATCCGCGGTGCCTGGTAGAGGCTACGCTAGTATCATTACCCGGAGAAAGCTCGCCTTGTCGATGAAGGTTAGACATCCAGGTAATAAGATACGCAACAAAAACAGTTACTCAAGCAACTGGATAATATCATTTTGGAAACGGTCAGACGTTTCAGGTAGCATCCACTATATACCTTTCGTCAGTGACACTAGAGACTGCATACAGGAGAAATGCAGGTTTATATAATATAAGCACGAAGCTCGCTTCGCCCTACCGTGAGATCAGTCTTGTCGGTGCCGCCGTAGCTGAGCGGGGAACCCACGTAGCTTCACACAGTACCATTCGAAAGCCTTGGATCCGAAAATATCAGCCGAGTTCCTGTTGCTGAGTCTTCACACTCTGGGTGTACACTGCCTCTACACCCTCGCCTGCCGCGGTTTAAATAGCCGATTCGCCGCGATCCTCTGCGCATGTCACGTTTTTTTTTGCGGTGCGGGCGGTGACGTCATGTGCAGCAGGCTGGGAGGTTCGGGTTATGACATCATGGTGTCCCGGCATCCCTCAGGAGACCCTCTTAAATCACAGCCTCAGGAGCTCAGCCAAATACATGATCCTGCCAAATGCATGACTCCGACACTACATGGGGGTTTCCACTATATACGTGAGACAAGGGGTGGGAGGGATGTGGGAGACTGAACCTAACCTAACCCTAATCGTAAGTCTAACCAAGGACATTATACACTGTGTATAATGTCCTTGGTCTAACCCTAACGCTGAACAATGATCCCAACCCTAACCCTAACCCTAACTCTGATACCAACCCCAACCCTAACCCTAACTCTGATACCAAACCTAACCCTAACCCATCCCTAAACACCTGACCTCTCACGTATGTGGCAGCTCAAGGATTCGGCTCAACACCGGAGCTCAGCCAATGTAGGATCCCTGCCAACAGTTTATCGATCCGCCTAATTCGCCCGAGGATCCCAGCCGCTGACATCTATATACATCGCCGAATTACTTAGAAGCGGTGATAAGGCCTCTGCCGCGCTAGCCTCTACCAGGCTTCGGGAGGCGGCTGGAAAGAGTAGAAATCCAAATAGAGTAGAAATCCAAATAGAGAGATAACATACGCCTAAAAACTCAAGCAACTGGATATGATTTTGGAAAATGATTTTATTGATTTTAATGATTTGATTTTCCAAAATCATATCCAGTTGCTTGAGTAACTGCTTTTTGGCGTATCGTATTACCTGGATGTCTAACCTCCATCGACGTAGAGAGATAACATGTCAGGGGAGTTTGTCTGCTGGGAGAAAAACGGGCGAGGCAAAATGTTCTCTCCCAGCAGACAAACTTTCTCGGTATGTTATCTCTCTATTTGGCCGATTTCTACTCCTTCCAGCCCCCTCCCGAAGCCTGGTAGAGGCTATCTCCGCGCTGCGTGCCAGCGAAATACACTACCGATAACCGTCAACATTCAAACCGCTGCCACGGGGTGTCTCGTTTGATCCATCTTAACGATCCATCCAGCGATAGGCTGTAGGTGTTTGATCTAGTTAACGATGTATTCAGTGATGAGCTGAGGATGTTTGCAAGATTTTAGATGAGAAGTTTATTGCAAATCCATGCCCGAAGGCTAATGATTGCAAGTAACAAACATAAAAGAACTCTGAAACTGAGTATAAAATAACTTCAAAATGTACATAATGAAATCTAATTGTCTAAAACTAATTGCTATGTCTAAAACTATGTCTGAAGGGTTTGACTTCTAAAAATAAGCCTCTCTCTACTTTGAAAACTTTGGGATTCCAAGTAGCCGCTCCTTTCTTTATAGTTTGTAAACATATCGCTGTCGTTAGGGGTTCAGTGATCCTAACAGGAAGACCTGGCTTTCCTTTTTAATTTAAGACTTCCAGTGCAATTATTGGTAAGGCAAACATGCGATGTCGCTGACGGAAAACGGCTGCTTGTTTTGTATCGTAGGCTGGTTCTAATTATACGTATATACTAGTACTCATTGCCATTGGTGGTAAACACATGATAAAGAGGCGCCTCACGTAAGCCTCTACCGGGAGCTTGGGAGCGGCAAACTGTTCTCTCAACCGACCAACTCCCTTGGCATGCTATCTCTCTATTTGGCCGATTTCTACTCTTTCCAGCCGCCTCCCGAAGCCTGGTAGAGGCTAGCCTCACGTAGCGTGTTTTGGGGCTATTGCAACGCCTCCAGTATAAAATGATGCTAAGAAAATGTGCTAAGAAATGACAGTAAAATGTCAATATCAGACATATTTCCTCATCCAGAATACGTTTTATTTTGCTGCCCTGAAATTGCATTGAATGTACAGTAAGCTTCACAGGAAGACCTGGCTTGCCTTTTTAATTTAAGACATCCAATGCTAAGGCAAACATGCGATGTCGCTGACGGAAAACAGTTGCTTGTTTTGTATCGTAGTCTGGTTCTAATTATTATACGTATATACTCATTGCCATATTGGTGGTAAACAAAAACATAAAGAGACCCCGCACGAAGCATGTTTTGGCGCTATTGCAAATGCAAACACTTCCAGTATAAAATGATGCTAAGAAAATGTGCATGTGGTAAGAAATGACAGTAAAAATGTATGAGTTCCTCATCCACAATATTTTTTGTTTTGCTGCCCTGAAATTGCATTGAATGCCTTAAGGCTTTAGCTTTAAAATCCCTGACTTCGCGGTGAAAACCAGCGAGCGGCAAGTCGGTTTACTTGGAAATTGCCATCGATTACGAACTGACCTGACAAGCTACGGGGTCAGGGTCAACAGAAGAGCCTTCTCCCTCCTTAGTCTTACCGCATGATTATGTTAACTGTGATGCAATACCGAGTATATCATCAGTTGCTGCTAGCCTCCGTAGCAGGCTTATAGAACTGGGGGTTTGGTGGTCTTCTGTTGTTTTCTGATTAGCCCAGTTCTATTAAAACGGGGGTAATTCAACCAGGCTGGCTATGTTGTCTATATGCAATCAGAAAATAGCACATAAAAGACCGTGAAGACCCCCAAAACCCCCAGTTTTTGGCATGCTATGGAGGCTAAGTTTCTGCGATATTTTAGTCTCTATCGCCAAGCGTTACGCGATTGCATGGCGCGCGTACGTATGTGAAGTACATAATGTTCATTCACAACGGTGTAGTCTCCACCAGACTCCTTTGCAGGCCGTATAAATAGTAGCAATCGGCCTTAAAGGGGATTTAATTGGCCAGAGAGGGTCCATTTGCCTGCCTCTCTGGCCAACTGGTCAACTCCTCTGGCCAATTAAATCCCCGCCTTTTAGGCCGATTTCTACTATTTATTCGGCCTTCAAAGGAGTCTGATGGAGACTAATGCAACGCCGAGTATATCATCAGTTCCTGCTGATATTTTAGTCACTATCGCTACGCGTTGCGTGACGGCATGGCGCGCGTGTGTGTTAGTTAACAAACGAGTGATGTTTAGGAACGGGGCGTACGAACAAATTTCAACCGGAGGGCGGTCTGTGGGGATGTAACTAGAGATCATCGGCGATGTTGACTAAGTTGGCGGGAAAATTTACCCCTCCTATCTACTGTAATTACATCACACACATTCCCAGACCGCTACTCGCTTGCTATATCAGTACTAGACTAGTAGTAGCTGTTTTATATGTGAACTCGGGTTCAACTCTGTGTTAGTTGGCACCAGGCATCAGTAGCAGTGCCTAGGTGTCCTGTGTATTGCTTGTTGTAATTTCAATAAAATAAGAATTAAAAGATACAATCAGTAGCTTAAGTTTTTTGCCTTGCCAACGATTTTTTTTTCATAGTCTAAGGTTTACAATCTCATTAGTTACACCATATTTTTATATAACTCATTGATAGTGATTAAATAATTGTATTCAGAAACTAACTAAAGAGGAAATTGGTGACAACGAGCATGAAAATGATGTTTGAAAAGGAGGTGAATCGACATTCGGTTTACTTTGCCAACGATTTTGTTCATGGTCTTGCCTCTACGGATTACAAGCTCGCTCGTTTTACCTTACTCTAGATGACTCACTGCTAATTTTTAGGCCATTATAAAATTGTATTCAGAAGAAACTAACTAATAGTGAGCATGAAAATGATGTTGGAAAAGGAGAGGAATCGACAGCTGACTGTCAAAATTATTGAAATTAAAATTAAACGTTACAATCAGTAGCTAAAGTTCTTGCTTTGTCAACGATTTTCGTAGTCGCTGCATACATTTTTAGACGACTCACTGCTAATGATTACAAAATTGTATTCAGAAAGTAATCAAAGAGGATCTTGTCAAAAATGATCATGAAACGTAATGTTTGAAAAGGAGTGGAACCGACAAAAGGGTATTTCCAGACGATGTTTTGAGTCACCGCTTTCTGAGAAATAGGTAAGAAGTTGGGGTTCGGCCCACCATTTGTCGCCTCACGTTTTCATCTGACACCTCCTTCGTCTTGACGCATGCGGAAGTCTAAAGGGATAATATATCAGGGGATAGACGTGACTAATCAGTGCTCTAGCTGTAGCGGGGTATGTGCGGTGCTGGTGTATGCATTATCAGTCTAGGGGGAGCCTATAAGTCACGACAAATTTGTCAAATGTAAATATTCTCTACATTGAACCGGTGCAATGGTAGGTCGTGAGTTCGATCCCCGGCCGAGTCATACCAAAGACTTTAAAATGGTACATACTGCTCTCACTAGCACTTAGCGTTTGAGAAAGAGTATACACACCACTACCAGCAAACTAGCCCCCTGCTGTAGTGATTGGGCAATTGTGTGGCCCAGGGGCCGAGTAACGGAGATGGGCGCCGCCATATGCGACCATGCTATTGATTGCGGGAGGGCTTTAACTAACTTAACTTCAACAGTACTTTCGTCATTGACGAAATGTAGTGGATGCTATGTACTTGAAACGTCTGACAGTTTTCAAAACCTATCAAGTTGCTTGAGTAACATTTCATTGTGTATCTCACAGTACCTAGATGAACAACCTTCGTCGACTTGTCTGTAGAATAGTTAATAGAACAATCTCACTTCTAAATGGACCTGTCTCAGTCGATTTAAATGTAAAGTCAGGCTTTCGAACTGTTTTTGTACTTTATCTTTTGTCAACAACATGTTTTTCGAACAACTACATGATATCTGAAACAGTTCAACAAATCAAGGACGTTATACACGTCAATATCATAACTTCATTGTGCAAATAGCTAATGTCCTTGCTTTGTTTCAATATTTCAATTCTTTGTTTACCCACCATGTGTTTTACCTTGGACCTCTGAAATGCATGAAAGAGCCTTTACAATTATCATGATACCGTATCAAGTAGAAGGTCTGTTTTCAGTTACTTAATGAAGTTTTTTTTTCAACATGAGAATTGTGTGAAATAT